TTAATATTACCTTCATTCCCTAGAATATGATATATACATTTTAAAAACAGCAATAGGAAAATCTGTATGTACTGCTTTACAAAGATCTCTAAAACACTGTTAGGTGAAAAAATGAGTTTGAAAACAATAGTATAATCAAGATTTTGCTAAAAAAAAGTACGCATATGCAAATGCAACAGGGGAAAATATTATAAGTGGTTTTTCATGGGTTAAAAATGAATTTTCTGGTATAAGTGATGAAATGTGTTATAAACAGTGTTTAAACATGAACTTGTATTTTTAAAATCTTTTAATTCAATGATTCAAATATGACAACAAAGCAAAACGTTATAATGTTATGAAAAACCATCAAAAGTTGTGTGCAGGGGCTGGGGATTTAGCTCAGTGGCATAAGCGCCTGCCTTCAAGCAGGCAGTCGCGAGTTCGATCCCTGGTACCGATAAAAAAAAAAAAAAAAAAAAAAAAAAGTTGTGTGCAGAAAGGATTAAGACAGTGATTAGAAAGAGATCAAAATTACACCAATGGTTCTGAATTCCCTCTTTGGTATTTTATATCAAAAAGTTTTGAACTAAAAAAATACTTTTTATTGTAAATGAATACAAAATTTGGGCTATATTTTAAAATCATCTTTCACTTGATTGTGTTGCCTAACAAAGTTAGTTGTTTAAAAACTTAAGCACAAGGGCTGGGGATTTAGCTCAGCAGCATGAGTACCTGCCTGGCAAACATATGGATACACTACTCAGTAGCCAAAACACAATGACATGGTAAACACCTCCCAATCACATTGAAATCTCTTATGAAATAAAGTAACTACTACATAGAAATGCCATAAAATAAGATTACTGTTACTTCAATATTTATCTTGATGTACAGAAAACTCAGGAGGCAGAAACCAACAAGGATCAACAAAAACTTCCTATATTTTAACAGAATTACAGTGTATTTTTAAAAGTACACAAACATTAAAGCCATTTTACTACAATACAATTTGTTATTTATGTCAGTTCATTCTTCTGACAATCCCGTTAAATAATTATTCTTTCTTGCCTAGAGCCTCCAACCTAAAGATATACGAAACTGTAGAACCAAGAGTCATATCCCCAATCCTGACTCCATATACAAATCCTCCCATATCACAATGAATTTAATATCAGTTATTCATGTTCAAACATACTACAAAGAGCGGTCACATTCCTTACCTGCTTAGAGCATTCATGCCAGAAATCTATGATCTCTTTTGCAACTCATTCTGACAGGCACGTAAGGGCATGGATCTTTTTTTTATAGACAACTTAGCAAGATCAATAATCTTTCAAAAGATGACAACCAACAAATACTAAAATGGAAGCATAACCAGGAGGATGGCCAAGCACACAAAAAATCAGAACACTATAAAAAGTGAATAAAGCGATTAAGGATAACTGGGACACACACACACACACACACACACACACACACACACAAGCACTTGCCTGCATACAAACAAATTCCATTAGACAGATGAAGGGCCATCAAGATGTGAGCAGTATGGTTTTGGGAGTTAAAAACGAAGGCAACTCAACATTCCGTCAACAGATGTTCGCTGTCATCCCCCTGTGCCAGATGTTCAGCTTCACTAGAAATATAAAGATGAATAAGACAGTGTCAATCTTCACAAAGTGAAGACTGGCGAAGAAGACAAAGTAAGTTGCACAAAAAGTACCCCAAAAGGGACAGAAACAGAACGAGGACTAGGAAGACTCTTAGTGAAGAGAGGATTGGTAGAGAAAAAGTCACTGGTGGGATGAGGAGTTTCACAAGTGGATGAGGTGTGATGGGAACTGAATTTCACAGGAAAGACAGCACATGCAAAGATACAGAGATGCCAAACTTAATTAGCCTGGTGGAACACGAGGTGCAAACTAGGGGTGACAAAAGAGGAGACTTTGAATTGGGATTAGAGGGGTGGTGGTAAAGAACACAAAGGGCCTCACAGTCTCATGCCAAGAGGGTTAGACTCTAATGCCCAAGCTGAGGAGCACTAACAAGAAATGTTAGGTGGGGTTAGCGGCATGCTTAAGAAAATACATCAAAAAGCTTATTCCAGCAAGAGGACAGACTTCTAGAGGGTAACAGTGAAGTCAAAGAGATTGACAGAGACACTACTGCTAGTCCAGGTGGGAATGAAGAGGAAAAACACATTCACAAAATACTGAGGAGATAAAGACCAAACAGAACTACTGACCATGGAAATGAGAGAAACAGGAGGGAGGTCTTTTAGATCTCAACTAGGTAAGCAGATAAACACTGATGGCCACACGACAAGTGACACAAGACAAATCCATAGGATCATCCCAACAATGTGAGAGCCCTCACATGGGAATTGGTTGTGGTTAGGGAAAACAGACGAGGGAAGTTACAGGCAGGAGGACCAAAGCCTATTTGGTGAAGGGATCCACTGGCATGTGAAGAGAGTGGACACTCATTAGCTTACAGGTAGCTATGAAGACAAGAAGAGAATATAAAGAATGAGATAAACATAGGTAACTCAATGGGTAGGTGAGAGAAAAAGGTGAAAAGACAAATGAACCCTTAAAGTAAGCAATGAATCACATAGGTTGACGCTGAGCAAAGGAACAGAAAAAAATATTCAAGAATTGTATTTCATAAAGCAAAACCTTTTAGAAGGTCTTCAAAGAAGGAATGGACTACTGTGTGAGGAAAGGAATCATGTCATCAAGGAAATGGCCTCAGGCAGAAGCTAAAAGGTTTTGAATTGAGAAGGCATGCAATGACTGCACAGGGTACTCTGGCAAGCCATCTCCCAACAATCTCTTCACTAATCTGTTCCTCCTTCCTCTCTTCCTAAAACCAGATTGTGTGCCTGCTCATTTCCAACCCTTCCCTGATGCTGACGATCTGCTATGCTATCATCGGCCTTCCACTCTCCTCTTCATCCTCCTCCTCTTCCATATGTCCCATACATTGACCTTAAGATACAAAAACTGTTTATCCTGTGCTCATACTTGTTTTTCTCTACCTTTCACTACTGAACATTTCCACTTTCCTACCACTCCTACAAAAAGATTTCTGAGTCTATCATTTAACAAAAATAAAATTTGACAAATGCCATCTGATTTATTGAGAGCTTCTGCCAGCTGTTCCTTCCTCACTTTTCCATTCCCTGGACCTCTTCCATAGTGCATGAGCCAACTGAGCAAGCCCTGCCTACTCTTTTCACTTTTGTAATCAGACAGAAGGTTAACAGAACACATTCTGGATCCGGGAACCAACAGGAACTGTGTTCTACACCCACGCACACTAATTAGCTGGCAACCTCGACATCATCCCTTAGACCTCACTTCTTCTGAGCCATCCTGACTTTCTCAAAACCTATTCTCCTTTGTACTGCTTATCACAATAACTTAATGTTAAAATTAATAGCTGAATCGGTATCTTTCCTACCTACATCCTGGACTGCAAACTCCCTCAAGGCAGAAAGCATACAAACCTTGTGCCTCAGCAGTGCAAAATAAAAACTCATTAAATTAACGCTGAAACATGTTAAGATCACTTCCTAATACACTGCTCTCATTACTGTTACTTAACCTAAGTAATAAAATTACTAGCACTTACAAAGTTACAACTTTAAGCAGAAACTCCACCTATTACCACAAACACAAATATGTTCTACATATAAATTTATATGAAAAACTGTAAAGAGTAAGAGGAACTTGTTTCTAAGATTGTTACACTTTTCTTGCCCACTCCTATGAAAAGGAAGTTGGATCAGTTACCTACATTTCAGGATTGAAAGGTGTGTGCTAAATCTTGTACAGGCTAAATGTGCAAATAAGTATCATGAATCAGTGATCCCAATTTGACATTAATACTTTTCTATGTACCTGTTTAGATTAATACCCAATGAATACCCATTGGGACTTTAGATTTAAAGCTATTCCTTGACATTAGTAAGTCATGATACACACAAAGAAAATCAACTTTATCAGCCCTGTGACACTTCAACAGGATTTTTAAATATTCCATATAAGTCAGGATAAAACCTGTGCTGGTTGAGCAACTACAAGTAACCACAATTGTACAACTATAATTACAGTAACCACCGTACCATATCAGATGTCTTTCAAACATAAAAATTTCTTATTTCACCAAAGTAAAAGTTTTGTGAAGTTTTATGATATACCACCTTGATCAAACACTTTTAACAGACTATATGTTAATCTGTCCTTGAACAGAGGGGTATTTACTGCTTCTCAACTACACTGGAAGACGGGGTGCTTTTGTTAATTGGCCCTCTGGAATCAAGAATGCAAGTGATTCCAGTGATCCGTGATATGCAAGAAACTGACAAGGACTTGTGAGGTTTAACAGATTTATATATCGGCATTAGAAAACAATGTACAACTCTCTAACATCCAAGGCTTGGATAATTCCCTGGGTTAGGAGTGATTAATAGACTATAAATACAGTCTGAGAAGAAGCATTTCATAACACAAACAGTGAAAGACACAATCACTTGGAACCACTCTCCAGGTCGTCCCAAGGTTAAGTCAACACCTCTGATCTTAAGGGGGAGAGGTGTGTCCCCAGTACCCTCTGGGAAGACCTCAGACTGTGGTTCTGATCTCAGTGCAGTCTCCTGGGACCTACAAGGGTTTCTTGGGGCTGCAGAAGCTGGGAAATCCCAGGCCAGTCAAAGAGGAGTTCCAGCTCCCTCCCAGTCCCGTTCCTTAAAATGAATTGGCCATAGGATTGTTTAATATTTAAAGAGGTGTGTAGTGGCCTCTCCTAGTGCTAGTGTGAGCACAAGAATGTTAAGTGGGATGACCCGGGAGAGAGACCCTAGCGCCCCGACCCTGCTCCGCGGTGCCTCCCCCACTCCGTGTCCAGCCTCCTCACGCGAGATCCCCTTCTCCCCAGCCCCGCGAGCCGAGGTGAAGTTCCCAAACGTTTCCTCCCGGATCCCAAACAAAACCCAAGCCGCCGCCCCCCCTCACCTGCGGACTTCGGCGGCCGGGGTGTCCGAGAGGCAACTTGCAGCGGCAGCCGCAAGGGCAGCTCAGAAGCCAGAGGCGCTCAGGGCCACGGGACCCCGCTCCGCTGCCAGCTTCGCCCAGCGAGGCAGGGAAAGACGGCGGCGGGGGCGGGACACGGGAAACTCTAGCCCCCACGCTCGCGCTCCTCAGCCGCTCCCCTGCTGCAGGCTCCGCTGCCCCTCAGGGTTCTTCGGGCTGAAGTGGAGACTCTGGGGCGCCTCCTTCCTGAGGGGGTGAGCGGGAGGAGACCAGAGAGAGGGCGTTCTTCAGTCCACGCCCGGACGGAGGAAAGAGACCGCCACAAGCTGGGCGACCGCAGCCGGGGGCGGGGGCGTGCTCGCCTTTTCCCTGTCGCCCACGCGCAGGCGCACGCTCTCACGCGCTGCGTCCGGCGCGACGCGCGCCCCACGCCGCTCCAACCCGGGTGGTCGCCTCCGGTGCGGGGGCGAGCTAGGCTAAAGGGCCGCTCCCCTCCCCCTCCTCCGAGGCGCCGCGGACAGGCGCTGCTGCGGGCTCTCCCCTGGCCCCTCCTCTGCCTTCTCCCTCTCGCCGGCCTCTCGCTCCTCGCCAGTGCATGAAGGGGAAGGCAAACACTAATGAAATCTGCACCAAAGAATAACAACGAGGCATTAATGTTACATGCAGTTTGTTTACCATACAGGGCCGTGGGCTGTAGGGGGAGGGATGTTGAAGGGAGGTGGAAACAACAGAGAGAAGGGGGTGAGGAGAAAGGAAGAGGAGGAAAAATTCCTCAATTCTGGGGAGGTTCTGGGAAGAGTGATTCAGTGGCTTTTGTTTTTTGTTTGAAAACAGGGTCTCTGTGTAGTTCAGGCTGTCTTCCACTCACCGTGTAACACAGGCTGGCCTTGAACTCCCAGTGATCCTCCTGCCACAGCTTTCCCAGGGCTGGGATTACAGGCATGCACCACCATCCCCAGCTAAAGTGATTCCTGTTTTTTGCTTCAAATTTTGGTCACTGGCAGCTAGCTGAGGCGCATGCAGGTCTCCTGGGTTTGAGAGGCCGACAGGTCCTTCGGTTCACGAGCTCCCCAGCCCACCCCTCCACAGCCTGGCGGTGAGAGGTGTGGCAGGGTCATCTGTGAGCGCAGCCGCCTCGCCACACTGGTGTCTGCACAGGATGTCTCCTCAGCCTCATTCTTAAGGCTGGGTGTCACCCAGTGCATCTTCCCAGGCTCCCCAGGAACTGCCCGAGAACACTGGGAAACAGGTGCCCAAGTGTCTCTACAATGGGGAGACTGAGGCTCAGCCAGGTTTGTGGACCAGGTCTAGACAGACAACACTGGTCTGGACAGACTTCATCTGGACTCGTGTTGTCTGAATGAACACATCAGCTCCATTTTAAAAAATGAACCTGGTTAATGAAATAAAGAGGAATAGGTTATTGATCAATTTGGGGGGGGGGGGCTAAGAACAAGGAACAATTGTGAAAAAGCATGAAATGCTTTATTAAAAGCACTGAAAAGAAAAAAAAAAACATAACTAAGAAATCCTCCTTCCTGGATCTCGGGACCCAGGATCTTGGGTATCTGGTGAGGGCCGGGAGAGGTTTACCCAGCTCTCCTAATTCCGATATGTGGCTCCCACTGGTGAAATGTGACAGGCGTTTGTTATCAGAACCCTTCCAAGGCCTGCCTCACTCAGAGCAGAGTTATTTTCTTCTCTGCCTTCTAGGTGAGGATCGCGGAAGGGCAAAAGAGGGGAGGAACATTTAAAAAATAGCATGAACAGTGAGATGTAATTTATGTCGAAAAGTATTTTTCTGATTCGAATAAGGCTGGAAGGATAGATTAAACAACAACATGCTAATAATAGTTATCTCCGTTCAATTGACAGAAATTTAAAATTTGCGTATTTTCTAAAATTGCTACCAAATATATGTAGGTATCAGATCAAAATATAAAAGTTATGATGATTTTTTTTTTGTCTTTTTCATTTTTATCGGTACCGGGGATCGAACTCACGACCGCCTGCTTGCAAGGCAGGTGCTTATGCCGCTGAGCTAAACCCCCAGCCCCGATGATTTTTTTTAAAGGCAAAGGAAGCAGAGTTCCTCGCAGTTGCAGGTCAAGCAGTGCACAGGTGAGCTGAGTCCCCAAGCCGGCACTGCCCTCTGCATATACTGGAACTGCACGTGGTACCCAGCCCTGTTTGCAGGATGACCCTCTACATATCCGGGGAGTCCAGCGGGGAGGTGCAGAGGGAGACCAGGCTTGAGCCTCCAAGGACGTTTTTTCCCTGCTAAATACCGAAAGGCCTCTGCGTGTGGTCTCAAATAAAACACATCTTCTGTGTGTTTATGCACTGCAGTAGAGAGAATTTTTAAATGGGAGTCCTTCAAAGAGAAGGCTAATAAAATGCAGTACAAGTTAAATATTTGTGTGCTTTCAGGAACCTTTATTTTCTTAAAGAAAGAAAAACCGAAGCAAACTTTGCTCGTTCTGAGTCCCCAAAACCATTCCCAGCTCTTCTAAAGAGAAGTTTCCACCATGCTCTCTCTATTTTGTAAGCCTTTGATGGCCTCGAATCCGTCCTTTAGGAATCTATAGCTAATTAATCTTCTCCCAGAAGCAGATGCTTTGGAAAAATGATAATTAGGAGATGAGAACAAAAAAAAAGATTTCATCTCAAATATTTACGGATGAGTAAGAAAGTTCAGGTAAGGTCAGAGACTGGAGCTGGGTTCCGAGGGACCCCAGAATCCCGTCCACCGCATGACTCGTGGCCTGATTCACAGAGCTCTGCTTTATTTATATTTAAGTACCTTTCTAATGCAGCACCTTGTTTTGGTAATCACTTGTTTTGGTTGTTGTTGTTTTGTTTTGGTACTGGGATCCAACTCATGACCTCGTGCTTGCAGCAGGCACTTATGCTGCTTAGATAAATCCCTGGCCCCTGCACCATATTTTTAAAGCAGTCTCTTCCTTGATCCTTGTTTGCCATCCTAATTGTAGCAATCGAGTCAGTGCCTGGCAAGCCTGAGGTCCTGAGTTCGATTTCTGGTGCTCAAAATGACAAAACAACCAAGCCAGTCAAAGCTGTGCTGTTAGATGAAAATAATCATACTTCCAGCATAGAACTGGGTACTAATTATTCAACATACAAAGCCTCCAAGATGGGATAAGAAAAGAGTTCCACAGAGGGAGGCAGAAGATGTGATGAACTTCATGGTGTAGAAATTACCCTTCTAGTTTTGTGAACATTTTCAAAAATACCTCATTATATTTTGTTTTTGATTTTGAGACAGTGTAGTTCAAGCTGTCCTTAAACTCACTTATGTAGTCCAGACTGGCCCCAAACTTGCAGTGATCCTCCTGCCTCAGCCTCCTGAGTGCTGGGATTACAAGTGTGCACCACTTCGGTGGGCATGTCATTATATTTTGAATAGATAATACACACATAAAATGCAAAATTCAAAAGGTATGAAAGGGAGTAATACAGTAGCACTGAGTGTGTCTGTGCACACACCTTGTATATGGTTCTGCAGGCTGTATGTTGCCTAATTCTAGGGAAGCTCATGCCCATAGTCCAAAATTCTTATGTAGTTATTTTTTTCAAGATAAACTCTTTTCTCAGTGTATAAATAATGTATCATCTTGGGGGAAATGTGGAAAGTACTGAAAATTCCCACAAAAAAATAACCTGTAATCTCATCCAGCTAGTGATAACATCTGCCTCCTTTTGGATTCAGTTCCTTTCAGTTCTTCTAAAAACATACACAATGGCTAAAAGGATTAAATAACACAGTTGTGTTACCCAAGTGTATTTCCACTTCCATCTGCTAACCCCTTTGGTTTCCTCCCAAAGCCCACCTGCGGCCAGGCACTAGAGAAGGCTTTGTTTTATGCAAATGCTGTATAACAAGATTTAGGTTAGAGTTGCCTGGGATCCTGAGGGTCTAATCCTTCACATTGTCACATTCTGTTATGTGATCCTCAGCTAAACTTTTGTGATTGGTCAGAGAGTGGAAGTAGGGCTTTATGGTCAGTGGACCTCAGGATTTTTCTGGCAAGTTCTAGCAACTTCTGAGCAGAAACATGACCTTCTTGAATTTTGAAAAACAGTGGTTAGCAAATAACCACTTCTCCATGAAGAGGCTTTCATCTTTTTATTTTGAGGGGAAGAAAAAAACCAAGGCAATAAATTTTCAGAGGTTAATTTATGCATACAAAATGATTACCTTCAGTAATATCTTTCCTTCCTCCTTCCATTTCTCCCTCATCCTTCCCTTCCTTCCTTCTTCTTGTATTTTTCAGTACTGGGGTTTGAACCTAGGGCCTCAAACATTTTGGGCAAATGCTTTGTCACTGAGCTACATCCCTATCCCTTTTTTGTGTTGCATTTTGAGATAGGGTTTTGTGAAATCTCCTAGGCAGATATCAAACTTGGGATCCTCCTATGTCAGCCTCCCAAATAGACTTGTGTCATGAAAGCCAGCTAACACCCAACTCTTTGATGTTGAAGTAGGTTTTTCTTTTAGAAACAATAAAAGTTCAAGTATATTCTTAACAATAGCACACACTAAGTCAGCAACATTATCCCTTTCCTAAATTATGAATTAGTAACTTCGGAATCTGAAAGTCTTAGGATCAGTGAACTTGATTAGAAGCTCTTAGTGGATGAAAATCTCAGGGAAATCTCTTTCATTTATCCATTTGTCTGCATCACCCAGGATCCTTAATAGATGTTTAATAAGCCATTGGGCAGAAAGCTAGTAATGATGACCAGAGGGAAGGCATGGCACCAGAGGCACTTTGGAAGGCAGACAGCTTTATTAACCTGGCGGGCTGGGGGACAATGAGGCCTAACTCACCAGTCCCATTTTTGAAAAACAGTTACACAGGTTTCTAGAAGGAGGCGCAAAGGCAGATAACATGGCATTTTGTAATTGGTTACGCATGTCTTGTCATATGTTGCTAGGCAGAATTTACACTACCTAAGCTTAATTGGGTTTCCTATCCTATAACAAGGAAAAAGACTTGAACTGAGATATCCTTGTGACAGTATGTGTCTGGGAACTTGAAAGCAAGAAAAACATCACTGCTTGGCTGAGCTACACTTACCCTGCAGCTGGAAATGGAATGTCATTGCTCCTTAAGTTTTGTAGCTTTCTAATTCTAGGAACATACTGTACTTCCAGTTCCATTCTTGGATAGAGATCAGTAATGTAACTGTATTAGAAGTGTAAGTTTTAAAATTTCCTCTTCTTTTAAAATTACCCCTACAGTGGGAGACAGAGTGGGGGCTCCTTGGGCCAAGACTCTTTGTGATATTAGGTCTGAGAAAGCATTCAGATTTCTGACATGACCTTACCTGTCTCACCAAAAGGAGGCACTTTAGGGGTTTCCTATCTTTGAATAATAGCTCAAGGAATTAAAGTACCAGTATTCTTTTTTTAAAAGCAGAGGAAACACAGAACCACATAAATATTATTAGCCCTAAAACTTGACTGAGGAGTGAACTTTGCAAAAAACATATTTAAAAAGCAGAGCTACG